ACCGACTTACTGGCCCTTGTCCTTCTCGGTGGAACCAACAAGCCCCGTCCCAGAGAGGGCGCCGTCCCAGTGTATCTGTGCCCCTGTTCTGGGCTGTGGTGGGTTGCCCCGTTTGCTGTTTCGCAGGGCCTCGCACAAAGCCATCCAGAAAGCAAAACTAGAGGATGTCAAGTGAGAGGCTGGCTGCATAGGACTTGATGTCTGCGGCTGAAATGTTTTTGTCCTGCTTCTTGGCACTGTTTTGCCAAATCAATTACTGTAATTGTTATGTCACATGGTTTGGCATGTTCAAACCGGCTGAACCGCAGTTCTCAAAAAAACATGTTTGATTTTCCGACTTACTCTTATGCATAGAGCCTGTTTTCTATGGGGCAAGGATACGTTCTTTGAGGTGCGACTGGAGAAGTTCACCCGAAAACTTTCAAACCAAGTAATCTATGTGACATGGCGACACAGTTCCTTTAATATGTTGAGTATGTTACTATTATGGGCAGTATGCAAAACAACCGCCAGCATTTCTAGTCGTCGCATGAAGAATAGAATGAGGCGGTAGAGTCAAGCTTGGAGGTGCACAGGAAAGCACCTTGTGTGGAAACAGCTTAGCACGAAATCTATCCTTATGAACAGCATACCGGCTTTGTGGAAGAGCTGTTGTAAAGATGTATGTCTCGGTTGTGGCAGCCTTGGGTTTGCCGAAGTCGCGACATGTCCATGAAAAAATGGCCTTGGAAACAATATCTCATTTGCTTAAGGTTTAAGTTTTAAGGGTTTAGGGTTTAGGGCTGAGCTACTGCTAAGGCTTGGAGATTAAGTTCGGATGTCATCAGCAGGCGAGCCTGCTTTCAGGCTCACCTGCTCACAGCCTGGAACAGGGGCCCTTGGTCAGGTCCCCTGTTTCCCTCCCACTGTCCCCCAGGCTTTTCCTGTTGTGTATGAGGGGACCTTTGCAGGTCCCCTCAAGTCCAACGGCCATCGCAGAGGCTCGACATTGAAGGAGCCTGTTTGCTCGCTTGGGAAGGTTCTTCAAAACTGGATGAGGAACGGAGCTTTGCTTTCACCCGAGCCAGAAGGCTTGGGCACAAAAACTCATGCAAGACTCAGAAAAGTTTGCAAAGGTTAAACCATTCTGTTTGCAAGGCCTTTGTCAAGTCCCACAAAGCAGAGCTTCTGATGCTGCGAAGACTATGCGATGCTATGCTTCGTAGAAGCATCAGACGATGACGACGACATCATGCTCTTCCCTTCGATATTCTCCGAGTCTAAGACACTTTGGCGATCCAGGAGTCTTCATGCTTCTTAACCGGAAACAAACTGCAAGAGGCAACAGTAACATGTGCAATAAACTCGATTGTTTTCCTCAGGCAGTCATGTGATCCCCAGTCTTCCGGCGGCAGCAGAAAGTTGGCCAGGCGTCTATGCTAAGGCTTCAGGATCTCGGGAGTTCTCCCCTACTCCACAACCCAAAGCACACAGCTTCTCTGGCCTTGCTCTGCAGCAGAAGTGCGAAAACAAGTTGAATGAAATCTGAATAACCAACATAACCCAGCAAAATAGGATATACTCACTCCCCACCTGCCTGCACCAAGGCCACTGCATGTGCATCCACGATATAGTCCCACTTAGCGCAGGCCACCGGCATTCTTGGGAAGTAATCCCGAGCCTTGAACTGCAAAGGACACTCGTTGGCTGTAACGAAAGTCTCCGGATCACAGCCGTCTTTGACGGCCCAGGGACCCTGGTGCGACTTCAAGGCTGGCAGCTCGTTGGGCTCGTTCGTGATGGTGTTCAGAAGCACCAAAGCATTCGGCTTCTCGTTGTCGTTTGAGGGATTCTCGGCCTTCTCGATCTTGTAGATGACGAAGTCGTCCATCTGCATATCCTTCAAGGGCTTCCTCAAGGCTGTCAATCTGTTCCCGATGGCAGCAACCCTCAGACGTGCATACTCTTCCATGACCATGATGTAGCGGTTCATCTTGTCGGCTGGCAGAGGTGTGTCCTTGGTGCAGTGCATCTGGTAGCAGAAGGCAGCCTGCCACCACTCGTCCTCCCTGACTGGCTCCTCGGCATCCTCGGGCAAGGTGGTCATCACCATGCTGATGAGCACGTTGATCGGCATCCCCAAGAGTGTCCGGACATTCTTTCCTTTCCACTTCTCCCCAAAGTCAACCTGTGGGGCATTGTTCTCGCAATCAGCCTTCTCGATGTCCATGAGGATTTTCATGCCGCCCTGGCGAATTACAGAAGCGAGCTTCGGCACCCAGGAAGGGTTGGCCTCCAGCATCTCAACGATGTAATCGCGGTCCACTTTGTGCGAATTAGCATCGTACGTCTGGATCACCTTGCGAAGCTTGGTAGCGGCCTTGGTTTGCTGCTTCAACTTCGCCTTCTCCTCCCGCTGCTTTTTTCTCTGCTCCCGCTGTCTCGCCTTGGTCGCCTTCTTGGCCTGGGGCTTCTTCATGGCCGACTTCTTGGCGGCCGGCATGGCACAGGTTTGGGATGGGCAGCAGGGTGGGAACGAGTCGCTGGATGCAATGAGCTGCAAAGAGATACAACGAATCCCCGTGACTTGCAGCGAGACCCCTCCGTGTGTGTGAGCAGGCAACAAACTGCAGGAGACTGCTGCATGGCTTCGCTGCACTTGCAACAGCAATCAAGACAAACATGTGTTTAACATTGTCGAACAATTTCGGCACAACTTCGGGCACACAGGACCGTCTTCATAAAACTAAATTCTTCTTACATCTTCTCCCACATAAAAGCTGCAGCCCTGGGAGCACACGTGCGACAAGTTTCCGAAGATGCACACGATTGCTTCAACTCATGGCCTGTGCTTTGCTGCTCAGGAAGCTCAGGTCTTGCTCATGGACTCCGGTCCCGGACTTTCCCTGCTGCAACACGCTGGCCAGGTCTGCACTGTGGCGACAGTGTAGCCGAGCAGTACAGGGGCCCTCCCTGGCAGCGACTCCTTTAAGTTTGCTCGCTCTGCTTCCGCAAGCAAATTTGTGTTAGCCACTACATTCCTCGAGAAAGTGCAGCTACACAATGTCTTCAGGATTGATTGCCTACTTTCTGTAGTTGGCCTTCTTCACTGACTCTTCGCCCGCTGCTACTGCTCTTCCGACAAAGAACAAACACAAAAGCAGCAGCAAAGCCACCAAAACGCACTGCCTTGGAAATCGGTCTCTTTTTGGAATCATGTCTTGCATTTGCCTTCCGTCCACCCTGGCTTTTCAGCTAGTCATGTTTCAACAGGACGAGCTGCTCAGAGTGGGTGCAACCAAACGGCTGGGCTCGGCTGTGCCAGAAGCCTCTAGCCTCCACAAATCCATGAGCTTCTTTGTACCCGCAGGCATCTCATCTCCCGAATGATCCGTGTGCCACTTCCAGCATGCCGAAAGTGCATAGGCAGCAGCCGACTTGTGGCCGGCTTGAGTCCAGCTCACGCTCTTCTGCTGCCTGGCTCCTTTGATCTTGTGTGTCAATTTCCAACGACCGTTTCTGTCGTCGGTTTCGACGGCCACAGTCGCAGGCATGTGAGCACGCATCTCTTTGTCCACGTCTGCATCATTCTTTGCATACTTTCGGCTCACGTCTTTTTTCGTGCCTGCCGTCTTCGCCGGCTCTTTTCTCTTCTCTGCCTGGGAAGCCTCTTTGGCAAGTAGCTCTTTTTTCTTGGCAGCAATCATGGCTGGGGTAAGTTTGTCGTAAGCCTGATGATAGCTCTTTTTGGTAAGCTCTGCCACCTTGGCCGGAGGAGTAGGTGCAGCTGCTCTGAGCTTGGCCACGACGGACTCTTGATCCTGGACACGAATTGTGTCCTTGATGACTTCTGCCATCTCTTCAGTCATCCCCTCCACGGGAAATTCACGGTGGAGATTTCGAAGTTCAATGCGATCCAGCACATCCTTCTCCGTCAAATTCGGGTCCTCGTTGACCAGCAAGTGCACGGCCAGGGCAAGCTCCTGGTCCGGCTGATCGGCCTCCGGCTCGTCGTAGCCCAACTCGTGGTTCAACAGTTTCAAGTGACTCTCTCCCACGCCTCGAAATCCTGTGTCCATCAAGAACTGCTTGACCGGCTTCCAAGCAGCACCCACCAACTGAATGCCAGGCTTCAAATGTTTTACAGCTTCCATGGGACAGCAGGGGCTCATCTCTCGAACCCTCGTGTCCTCCAACGAGAAAAGGAAGCCCCAAGACAAAGTTCTCACACCCTTGTCGAAGGTGAGCCTGTCGTCTCTGTGCCCCGACAGGGGCCAGAGAAGCAGTCCGTTGGAATAGCTTCGCACGACATAGTGCGGCCTCCGCTTCCACTCCAGCACTGACCCCGCTTGCACGAGGCCCGAGTGCCAAGCCTTTTCAGCCAGGTCCCACTTGCTGCCCAGTTCATGGATGTGCATTAGCAAGGCAAGATTGCATGGCAGCCGCTGTTCGCTCTCTGGAGTGAAGGCTGGCCAGGCCACTGGCCCGGTAACTCGGCTGAGGAAATCAAAGTCAATCTTTTCCTCGGCTGTTTTGGCATCCACTCGCCTGACGTTTTCTCGACAGACATCTTCGATGCACCAGTCCTGAGGAACTCTGAACTGCTTCGTGGCCACAATCTCTGTTCGGCGGTACATTTCGAGCACCTTGTGTTGCGACACTGTGTGCCACGCCTCAGCCATGGAGACTGTCTTTGCATTGTTCCCCCGGTCCTCCTTTTCTCTTTGGAATTTGTTTGCATCTTCGACGAGTTTAGTGTTGAGCAAGGAGGAAAAGGCATGTTCCAGCATTCCTTTGAGCTTCTCCGAAACCGCCGTGAAGTTCTCCTGCTTCAAGAGACGTAGCACGTGCTGCTGGAAGACCTCCTGGAGCATGGTGTCCTTCAGAAGCCTCTGAGCGGCCAGATTCCCCGTTGCTTTGACTGCTGCTTCGGCCTCGGCAAGACGCTTGAACCACAGGAGGGTGGACTTCTGGCTGGCTTGGTCCGGGGAAACCAAACCTGCACACTTCCCTTGTCCGTCGGTGTGCCACAAGTTGCTTCCGGCCCTGAACTTCAGCAAGCTTTTGAGGAAACTGAAGAGCTTCTCGGTGCTGGCCCTCTCGTACTCCACCTGGCCAGACGGTGCGTCTCTGGCCCATTCCATATGGAAGCCGATCCGAGCCAAGGTCTCCAAGTCCTCCAAGACGTCCAGATGGCGCTTTGCGGTTTGCAACCACCCGTCACCGGACCAGCTGATGAAATAGCTGAGGGTTTCTGATGGCCCCCGCATGTCACACAGCATAAGCCTGGCTGCCCGACTTTCGGGTTCCAAGACTGCTGCGATCAAACGGGACTCCAACTTGACATCAGGGTCGTTGATGTACTTGGTCATGGAGTGAAGGCTGTTCGTGGACCGATTCCTCAAGACTTCCAAGGGCCTTTTTTGCGTCTTTTTTCGCTTGGGCTCTGCTGGATGATGTGTCAGCGAGCTCTGCCACGCACTCGTCGGGGCACCAAAGCTGGTCCGCATACTGAACCCAACCTTGGAGAAGGCAGGTGGCTGTCATGACGAAGGCCTGGGAAGACCAGTGCTGGTCCAAATGCTCGTGTGCCTCGCTGAATGCATTGAACTTACTCAAAGATGCGACTTTCGGACCCTTGCTGGTCAGGAAGTGCTGGCTCCTCAGAGTCTTCAAGAACAGCTCGCGGCCATTCTGGGAGTCGTCGAGGACAAAGTCCCTGTCTTTCAAGATCTCGGGCCAGTAGTGGAGCAGGAGTGGGTCGTTTGGAGACATGAGGGCGAGCTTTTCTCCTGCCTCCTGAAGCATTCGGAACCATCCCCCCTTCAACCACGGTCCGAACTTTATGTTGTAGAGTGTCAAGTTCAGGCATGCTCGCCTGAGGCAACCACTTTCGCCTAAGGCGAGAATGGTGTCATTTTGCCTGCGATGCATCGGGTCGTAGCAATGGAGGATGGCGAGGCGGCGGTGGTGCTTCAAGAAATTCATTGCTGTGATCTGCAGGCTTTCCTGGTCTGTGCACACGACCAGGACTCTGGGCACCTGCACTGGCTCGGCCTCGCTGCCAGCTGGGATGTCAGCAAAGTCTTGAAATTTCAAGCCGGCGGTCCTCAGTGCTGTCTGGACGCAAAGCATCCACTGGTACGTCGGGACCCGCTCTCTCGTGTCGGTTTTGACACGAAGTCTTCGCTGCTTCTTCTCCTTGTCCTCATCGACTCTTTTCTTCATGAACTCCTTGGTCCTTGCTGTCCAGAGGGCACCCTCGTTTTCGAACAAATCATACGTCTTCAGGATCTTCTGGACCTCAACGATGGAGCTATGCTTTCTCAGGCACAACAATACTCTGCAGCTTGCAACCGGCCACCCGGGGTCCCTAAAAAAGGCAAGGCTTCAAAGTTGCTGTTGCACTGGAACCACCGGTTTCTGGGCACTGAACACAAGGTGCGGAGGGTTCCTTTTGGGGTGGATTTCGGCCCCAAAAAGGGATGGCCGAAAGCGTCTTTTTTGAGATGCTTTTTGGCACCCCAAAACCCCCAAAACAGGGCGCTGTCCCAGCGGTTCGGGTTCTTTTCGGGCACGGCCCAAATCGGCTCTCTCCTTTTGTTTTAAAGGCGAAAAGCCTCCAAAACCAGCGCGCTGTCCCATCGGTTCGCCCTTTTCAGGGACCCGTCCCATCGGTTCAGGGCCTTCTTTTTGAGATGCAAACGGCCACTCCCAAAAGATGATTTTGGCCACGAAATGAGGGCGCTGTCCCATCGGTTCGGGCTTGGTGTTTGTCGCTCAAACCCAGGAAAGGTTAGCCGGCGATTCCTCCGTTCGGGGCCCCTCCCATGTTGCTGCAACTGGTAACTAAGGAACTTGCAAAACAACTTCCTATCTGATACCTTGCCGGGGCACCTGTGGAGGCAAGTGCACTGCCTTCTTCTGAACCGGGTGCCACAGGAAACAGTTCAGGATGTGATCGCTGCCAACACTCACGGCATCAGCAGCCAAGCTCACCATGGGACTGTCCTTCATCAGCTCCTCACCGGCCTTCATGTAGTTGTACCGCTCGGGCTCCAGAAAGCGAGCTGCTCTGTGTTGTTTCGACGCACTCCGGCCTTCGACCAGAATCTCCTGTGCGGCTTCCACTGTGCCGCTGTCCTGCATCTTCGCATTCTTTGTTCTTTCAACGATGGCCTGTCGGAAGCCGAAAGACACCTGCCTGTAGCCACGTGCTGTCCTGTCATTCAGCAGGCCAAAGAAGAGAGTCAACACAAAACCCAGGACAAAAACACAACCCTCTCAAACGTGTCCTCAACTGCTTCAGTTGCTCGACCTTGGTCTCGGACCACAGCTTTGATCTCAGACTCGCCTCTATGCAATCCGAGATGACCAGGAACAGGAAAGCAAGAAGTGCCCTGCACGCATCCCTTCTCTGCCAGCTGCAAGTGTTGGCCGTCTGGTCGGTTCGCAATCTCACCAGAACATCGCTGAGTTCCAGCTCTGCCGGGGGGCCCGGGAACATTGCCTGCAGGCTCGTTTTCTTCTCGATCAGGCGCTGCCAGTTCAGCATCACTTGTCCCTCGTGTTTTCGCCATTCTATGACAAAGTCACAGCCGTCCTGGTTCTCATCTGCTTCTCTCTCAAACCAACTGTCGGCAAAATGCCACGTGACGGCCCTCAGCATGCTTTTGGCCTTTTCCTTGAGCATGTCGTCGGGTAGTTTCCAGCTGCTGGTCTTACGCACGCCCACTGCTATCATGACCAATAAAGTCAGCAAGCAGAACACCGAACAATGATAGTCGAGCTGCTCGGCAGGCCCGTCTTCCCTCTCACTCTCCTTCCGCTTCCGAGAAACCATGTGCTTGCTCCAAGAAGATGCCGTCAAATGTTGCTCGGCTTCTGCTTGGGCATCCTCAGCCGCTGTTTCCTCAAGGTATTTCTGGACATGGTTCTTCCAAGTTTCGGCACTGGCTCCGATGAAGTTCCTTCGTGCAGCCCCTCCCAGAGCATCAACCAGCCATCGAACTGCGAATCTGACCGAGGAGACTGGAGCACTGCATTTCGGAATGTGAAAGAGGTAACACTCCGTCTGCCACTTCATGGGCCTCTCGGTCTGCAAAAGCAGCTCCAGGGCCACGGTGTCTCTGGCATTCTCAATTGTCTCCAGGGGGCCAAAGAAGGCCCCTTCTTGCAGCAACACCTCCCTCTCCTCATCATCATATCCCAAGGACAACTTGAAGAAATCTGCTAGTGGAATCTCTACACGGTCCTCCTGCGACTCGTCCTCGGCTGGTTTGATCACTGCTTTCGTCTCCTCGCTGATCTCTGTGCCGGAGGGGAGATCCAGCAGTTCACCCGTGCAGATATTCTGCAGTTTCAGCTGGTTTTGGAAGGACAAGAGCCTGCACAGCTCTTCACGCTTGCCCTTTCCCTCAAAAGCCAAGGCCGACCATGCCTTCAAGGGCATGGCAGCTTGCTTCAACTCGATGCTATGTGCTTTCGTGACTTCCTGAGCTCGGCTGTTTGCGAAGTTTGCGAGCAAGCTGGCCTGCAACTTGAACCGAGACCTTGTGTGGCAAAGCAAAGTGCAACCACATTCGAAGGATGCAGGAGCACAGCAGCCATGTCTGACACCCTGCAATGCACGTGTCTTCCTGCACAGCTCAAACAATCGTTTCATGATCTGTGCTTTCCTGGGAGGCAACAAGTGCAAACTCTCAGCATCACCTGTTTTCTCATCCTCCCCAGGATGCTCCACTGAAACACAACCCCTCAGACCCCAGCAGCCGCACTCAAGCCTCGTCACCTGGGTCTTCTGTTTCCCACTCTGGCCACTCTCCAAGGATGACGGTCTCCGCATCGTCTATTGCCGTCCTGGCATCTCCCTCGTCCTGGGCTGACAGAGCTCTTTCCAGAAAGTGACGAGCCATCTCGTTGAAGATGGCGAAGAGTCGCAGGATCGGTTGTGTCAACGGCGGCACCGACTGTTGTGGAAGCCGAGACCCCTTCCTCCGTTTCACAAACGGAGGAGTCACTCCGTCTCGTTCTCGTTGTCTCTTTCTGGGGGGCGATGTCGCCGCATCCATGGCTTCCAGGACGATGCTGTTTTCTGAGAACAATTCTTGCAAGCGGCATCCCAGTTTTTTTGACCCAACAGAAAGCTTGCAAATCCTCGATCCATGTCATGGCAGCTTGCTTCAACTCGATGCTATGTGCTTTCGTGACTTCCTGAGCTCGGCTGTTGGCGAACTTTGCGAGCAAGCTTGCCTGCAACTTGATCCGAGACCCTGTGTGGCAAAGCAAACTGCAACCACATTCGAAAGATGCAAGAGCACAGCAGCCATGTCTGACACCCTGCAATGCAGAAAGGAGGCCTCAGTGACTCAAGATGCAGCAGTCTCGAGGCTGGGTCTCCCTCAACACTTCCAGTTGTTTTGCTCTGCTGGCACAACCGCCCTGGAGGGCCCAGACCTGGTCCCTCGCTGGGGGGCCCTTTGCAGGTCCCCCCAGCACCCTCCCACTGACCCACAGGGCTCGTGCTCTGCAAGCACAGAAAAGTTTCTTCGGAGCCGACCACGGAAACCGACGCTCAAAGAGCTTAAAGCAGGTGCTGTCATGAGCTCGCATGAAAAGGTCACTGCCAGAACTGCAAGCACATGTGAAGTCAGGCTTCCGAGGCAGCCAGCAAGCACTTCCGAATGAACTGCAGGAGTATTTTGCTGCCCTCCTGTGCGATGCTTCGACGCCGGAGATCTTTGCAATTATCATGGGAGGAAGCCCGTGGCGGGCCAGCTGCCGAACCGCCGCTGCAACTAGTTTGTGTTTAGTTCAGTCATGGCTGGCCAAAACAACGGGTTCATTCCATATGGAAGATTCAAACTACAGACTGGCCAGCACGAGGCACTGATCAGGAGGACCCTGCAGCATGAGGCACTCGGTCAGAAAAACAACTCTTTCCGCACCTCTATATGGTTCGAGAAAAGCCTAAAGCTGACACGAACCCATATGTTAGGGCCTAACTTGTTCTGTTGTTACCATATGCTACCTGAATATATCTTTCTCATTTCAACACTCACTCATGCTTCAGGACGTGTCCATGGCATCACCGCTCTCTGTTGCGGGCGGTTCGTTGGCTAAGGGAGGCTCACGGTGCTCAGCCTCGCCGCCAGTCGCCACCGTATTTTCTGGCGGCTCGGCCGTCTCCGCCACGGCTGCAGGAGCAACTGGACCGGGCCCACCGCCACCATTCGACGATGCCGCATTGGGAGCTCCGCCGTCTTGCACTGCCCCGGTCCCGGCGATCTGAAAACAAGGGAGCTGCTGGGTGTCGTTCACGATAGCATTCACCCAGGCTTCCCCCAGGTTTCTTCTGCACACGGGGCAGGAGACCACAGTCCCCCCCTCGCGGCCCACCCTCACCATCTCCTGGAGGCACGCACCATGAAATGGCCCGTGGCCGCAAGCAAGCAAAAAGCCATTGCTCAAGCGAGTGCCGCCGTTGCCGATGGCCATAGTCCGCCACGTCGCTGACAAACAGATCGGGCATGAGGGAACGGCATGAGGCGGCGGCTCCTTGGTTTTTTTTTGTGTCACTAGTTCAGTAGGCCGCAACATAGCTTGTCCTATCCCAGAAACCCCAGAAGTGACAGGTACTTCAGAAGTTAATCTCACTGGCTCACTGGGTCGGGTGGACAAAGCGAGGGTTTCTAAACGATCGACTCCGGAGGTTGCTTGAATCAGATTCATCTCATCAGCCGAGGCACAACAGAAAGCCCAGGTGGCCCCAAAGCCTGAGTGTCTGTTTCTTTGTGTCTCTTAACGGAAACCGAGTCAACAAGAACAACACACTACCTGTTCAAGCCAAGGAACGGTTGGCGGCCGTGTCGGTGCAGCTTCCACAGCCACTGCCGGTGCAGGCGAGGCGGCTGCAGGAGCTGGGGCCACTGCCACTGGCACTGCAACAAGCTCCTGATCGCCTGAGGGTGCTTCATCTGCCGCCACCTCGACATGCTCATCATCGTCACCACCGCCTTCGGCAGCTCGAGCTTCACGTTGCCGTCGCCGATACCTGGCTCCACGGGACTGGCCTTCGCCCCAGGCATTCCATGTCGAAGTCGTGCCGCCGCTGCCAGCAGCGGTGTCACCGTCTCCGCCGCCGTCGTTGTTCCATGTGCCACCGGTGTTGTCGTTGCCCCCGTTCCAAGAGGTGTTGTAGCTGCCGGTGCCGCCGGTGGCATTGTAGCTGCCGGTGTTGTGGCTGGTCTGCCAGTTGCTTCCTCCACGGCTCTGCCAGCATTGGGATCTCCACGGAGGGCTGCTCTGCCACCTGCTGCTTCCTGCCGCCCTCCATGTGCTGGTGTCGCCGCCGGAGCCACTGCTCCTGCCGTAGGAGTGACGCCCCGCCCAGGACGAGCCCCAGCGGGGGTTGGCTCCTTGGCCCCATTGCGAGGAACCCCCCGACGATCGCCACTCTTTTCGCCTCTCGTTCGCCGGCTGGTCCACGAAGCTCGAAGAAGAGCTGGAACTTGATGAATCGGAGGAGCTCGCTGCTCGGCGGGACCGGCTCTTCTTTGACTTCTTGAACATCTTCTTTTGCTTCTTCTTCATCTTCTTAAGCTTCTTCTTCATGTGTCCCAACTCCCACGAGTTCTTCCTCGCCTCTCGCTTCTCGGCGCCAGACCGCTGTCGCTTGCCCATGGCTGCCGCTTCTTTATTCACAGGAGGCCCAGCTCTTCTGCTTGAGCAGAAGGCATCAGCATCGGCATCGAGTTATTGTGCTGCATTGCTGCAGCAAAACCTGCTCAAGCTGTGACTGTGTACAGACGAAGCAACACTGCAGACGGGTCTCAGAACTGGCTAATCAAAATCGCCCTGCAAGTCTCTTCTCAAGCATGCATCAACACGGTCTGGCGAGCCCTTCCCAGGTCCCGCCAATCGCAAAAAAGTCCCGGGCTTGTTTCTTTATGCACGCTGTGAAATCGTCCGTAAGGTCGGAAACTTGCACATGAATTCATACACCCTGAATTCGTCTCAGTCGTCGGCATCCATGTTCGTGCCCTCGTCGTGCTTTCTCTTCCTCTTCGTATTGGCACTGGATGTCGTGGCCGGGGCGACATAAGCTTGCTCGCCCGCCGCCTCCTCAGCCTCTTTTCTCACCAGCTCCAATGACCGCCACATTGTGTGCCATCGCTGCACAAAGCGGCCCAGATCAGGCCTGAAAATCCAATACCAACGCCTGGATTCATTTTGTTCATCCATGCTGCGAGGTTCTCTTCGGAAGCTCTTGAGAGAGAGGGGCAAATGCTGAGAGAGAATGACTGCGGGCGGAGAATAACAATGCAAGATTTGCAGCACTGGTCCTAAGGCTTAAAGGTTGCAGGCTTTGGGGCTTCTGT